AAATAATTTCATTCAGGAAAGCGTTTGATAAGAGTTTAAATGAATAAGAACATGTTTTCTGTAACAAGGCATTAATGAAGGCATATTACATTTTTCTTATATGCGTTTAACATCGTTTTTGGAGAATGACGACAGTGACGACAAAGGCTGCAAAGAGCAAGATTCTTGTCTGAAATCTCTCTCGTTTGGCATCAGACTGAAATACTAACCTGCATTCCGCCGAATCCGGCTTGGAACAATAATGCACGTTTAGGCTGCGTCGCAAAGAAAGAGGTTTATCATTTAAAGTTTTTATTAGTTTTGTAAATGAAATGCACTAGCAACTGAACAACGTACCTTCTCAACACCCATATCAACTAAAGCTTCAAATACAGATGATATTCAGTGATGATATGGTGAATATTAGTTAAGTACGACTTCAGCAGCTAGACGAAGAGGACAGTTTTATGTCCAAAACTCATATTTTGAAGAATTTCTTGAAATCTAAAGAGACATTTGTAATTGGATATGTCTAACGACTGTACGACAATGTTACCAAATTTCTAACTATGAAATGTATTATCTTACGTTTTCACGAATAATTTCGCGATTAATGGATATGTTAGTCAAAAGAAATAGATTAATTTTCCTGTAGCGTCTGAAATTATTCTTGTACTTTCCATCCATCTTCTAAACGCGTATCCTTCTCGGGTTTTTGTCTTTTATCGTCATTATTATTATTATATTCACAAAAACAAGAAACTTGCGATTTGCGTTCTTTGCACTGATCTGATGGTTCTAAAATAGCAAACGTAACTTAAACTTTATAGTACTGAGCCTCGGAGTCCTCGCCTGTAAGGGCCGGATTCAGTTTAATATGAACTGCTTTAAGTCATTCTGACATGTTTTTAAACAAGGCATAGATTTGTTGCAAAGTATAAATGTACTTTTGTCTACAGAATAAACACATTTAGAATTTTATTATAATGCTACTGTTTAATTATATTAATCTTTTGCTGTTAATTAGAATCAATAGATCTCAAATACATTTTAAAACTTGTAATTATAAGCTAGCTCATACTAGTTCATAGGTTTTTAAGTCTGTGTGTGTGTGTGTGTGTGTGTGTGTGTGTGCGCGCGTGCGCGCGCGCGTGTGTGTCTGCGCATATGTGGTTCTGTTTTGAATTGAATTACAGCGTGAAGTGACAGAGTGTTAAAGATCTAGTTATTTAAACAACATTGAATTCAAATGGTTGTTTAAACAGTCTTATTTCCGGAATTTCTAAATGATGAAAAATATGATGCAAGTGACGGCAAACGTCAGGCATAAATTAGATAAAATTAGGAGGGAATAATTTAGTAGTATGCTTGAAGGGATGGCGTGTTTAAAACTTCCTGTTGAGCTGTCCAAATCAAATACGTGATTTCGTGTGTGTGTGTGTGCGTGTGTGTAAAAAACTGCTGTGGTTACTGGATATAAACCATCGTTTTGAAAGGCTTGGGGCATTTCAACGTCTGCTCTACGAAGCGCTGAGACCGCTTTTTTTTATTCTACTTTTCACGGGTACTGTACGTGCAACTTTATGAATGTCTTGGTAGAATTGGTACATATATCTGAAGGTGTGTTTAGGTTTTATTAACTCTCGCTAGCCCTCAATATGGTATGTGTAACCTCCACGCTAGCCCTCAATATGGTATGTGTACTTTAACTACCAAAGTAAAGAACTTTAGAAGACATCAGTAAAATTAATTTCCCAGATTAAAACGGGATTCTTCTGGACAACCACCAAATCACAGGTTGCTGACTGAGTTTATTGTTGCGCTCACACAAACAGTTTATGAGGTCGAATACACCTATAGACACTTTTAGTGAGTCTTCTGTTAGATAACAATCGGGGACACAGTAGGGCGCTTATATTTTAACATCTGTCAAATATGCTAGAGCCACATTTGAACATTATATTAAGAATCTCACATAACACTTAAAGATGTATATATGGGAGCAATGGACATAGCATTGAAAGTTAGTTACAGTTTAATAAACAAGATACCTATTGGAACGTAAGACATAATAATTATCCACGTCCATCTTGAAACTGTGTATTCTGGTCCGGATCATGCCGTAATTGTTATTTAGACTAAACTATTTGGAAAGTTTTTAAAACAAATTACATTGAGATTTCAAAATCAGTAAAAACAGTTAAATGTTTGAGTAGTTTTTAGTTTGGCCGTTATTGGGTTAACTGCAAGAGAAATGCCTTCTCATCAGTAAACATCAGGAGCAGGAGCAGACCTATAGAGGCGGTCGCTTTCAGTGATTGCTGCTGCTCCAGTGCTATCAGTCTCATGCACGTGAGAAAGATTTTTTAAATAAAATTAATTAAAAATGCTGTAGTGCATGAAATCTGCATGGGAGTCCTTGAAGTGTAAATTTGAATTTAAACTAAAATTCTCCTTCACTCTATCAGTAATCAGCAGAAATATGAAACTAACTTTTTATATGCAGATACAATTATTATTATTATTATTGTTGCTGTTGTTGTTAATAGGCTACTACTACTACTACTACTACTACTACTACTACTACTAATAATAATAATAATAATAATTATTATTATTATTATTATTATTATTATTATAATATATGTAGCAAGTGTTGTTTTGCTAGCAGTAAAAGGGATGGTATTAGTGTAGTATTTTATTATATTTTAGTGTGAATATTTAAAACTTTGAAATTGGACCGTTAAAACACAGCCACAAAAAATGCAGACTATATTTTCTAAAACCAAAACCTATTTGTTTTTGCACGTGAGAAGATGCTACTACTTAAAATCTAATCATTAAATAACAAGTCATTTGAATAGGCTCCATAAGTGCATGTGGGAAACGAAGGACGGTGAATGTACAAAATTGCTAACTTGCTAACATTTTAACTTTCTAATTTCGTCGAAAGAAATTGAAAAATAGAACTGTGGCCTCACGTGACCATGTGATACATACTGATAGTCCCCAATAGCATTTCCTATAAGTTATTGTTAAAGCCATTTAAGACAAACTTGAGGGTAGATCGTTAATTGTGTGGAGTCTCGGTACTGCATGTCGTGTCCTGGCGGTATTCAGCCGGGTGCCAAACCGAGGGAAAGCGCACATGCTTCTTGCCGTCACTTCGGCTGTTCTACAAGCATTTAACATCATCCCCGTGTGGGCCTACAGGCCATTAATAGTAACCCTACCGTGCTGGGCAACTTCAACAAGCCAATAAAATTCCTGTAAGAAAAGTTAAGAAAACATAATTGCCTGTAATTTCTGGCAGTTAGAACAGGATGCAATAAAGCATGAGTATTAGGCTTTGCAGTATTATTTATTGTCAGACATGTATACACACGTATCTGTGATACAGAAGACTTTCTGAACATTCGTTATGTCTCAAACTTCGGTGATATTTCTCTTGATTTCCTTGTGCAGAAAATCATCTAAAAGTATTGCACGGCTTTAAGGAAAACACACGGGAAAGGACAGATAAATCAACCAGGAGTTTACATCACAATGCTCGTTATAATCCAACCTTAAGTGTCTAGTAAATCATATAAACAACTGAACGTGACCGGTATTTCCTCCTCTTCCGCAGTGCATGCATTTGGGAGCAATAAAGCAAACCCACCTCCAAACTGTGATCAAAGCCTTTAATGTTCTCCTGGCACGTCTCTCACTTCATACAAACATTATTCCACTATCTCCAGTCGTGGCTATTTTGTTGTAGACCGTTTAATAATTAGGAACATTATAAATTAGACGAGTATTTTAGTAAAAAAAAACTCACCTTAAAATTTTATTCACACGCTCGACGAGTGTGCTCTAGGAATGAATGCTGCGTATATGGAAGGTTGCTGCAGAATGAACGGTTGATGTGGACCAATTCTTTTCTTTTTTCACACTTCTAAAATAAAGAATTGCGACGTCTTTCTGGATTAAGCCGGCCCTAGGATCAGGAGCGGCTTGTAGTCATAAAGCGTCGCTTGTAGTATTCAGCGAGACTATGAACTTGATGAGAATGTTTCCTGCGGCGAGTCGGCGCAGCCCTGTGAGACTGCCTCACCAGCCCGAATTTTGAGAGACAAATCTGAGGATATAACAATTACTGCCATCTTTCTTTCTTTCCTTTCTTTCTTTACTTAGTCCCACACCCTATAGCTCTTTGGTACAAACGAACCCCCTCCCTCACAGCTTCAATAAAGCAAGATTTCGGAACTCTGCCAAATGTACTCATAGCCGCGTGAAATGAAATGCAAGACAAACTGATAATAATTAATGAATAATATATAGGCCCACCATTAAACATCACTACAATATCATCCTACATATGCGACAGGATTAAACAAATTTAGAAATTTTGTAAATTTGTTTAATCTCAATTAATTGCAAAAATATTCGCTTTGAAATTTCACGTTAGAAAACTCATTTCGTTTCAGAAACTTTAGATTTTTTTTTACTTCAATAAAGTTAAATTCGGGAAGCATTCAATTACACAAGTGTTTATATAAGTTTCAAAAATTACATAAACACACGCACACACGATGTTGTATACAATCTGGCTATTTTTTTTAATGCAACAGCTGCAGCGATTCGACAGCATAGAAGGTTGTAGCAACAGGAAACATAATACGCATACATTTTACGTATTGTACATGCATATATTTGCTCCAAGTTTTTTTTAACGTAGTCTGCTAAATAAAATATCTTTAGTCATTTTACATGTGTACAATAGTTAGCTAGTTACAAAAAAGTAAGATTTATTCATGCGAGACATTCCGCTGCCTTACCTGCAAATAATACCTCGCCTAACCAATCAAAATAAAGCTTCGAGTCGAACTGCCATTTTCAATATCAAACTGTGCCAATCAAAAAGTATCTAGCCAATTAATTTACTAAGCTTTTGTCACGTGTCAGTGAGGTAGCGGGATTCTCATTGGCTACTGTAGGACTGCCTCCAGAGTTCATTTATGTGCTGGGAGTGAGTGATTGACTTTATCAGTCCAAGGACATCATTCACTTGGAAAGGGGGGGAAGTTCGATCCTCTTTTTAAAGGATCGCATTTGCGGGAGTTTTTTTCCTCCCCTAGTTACCAAGACAAGAAGCATTTTGTTTATTATGCGACAGTTTAGTGTTATCTGCTTTTAAAATTCTACATCATTGGTCACAGTAAGTTGCTAGTTTATGAACGTGAGTTTTAACATTTTGCATAAAAGCCGCATCTTTTGCTTTACTTTCTATTTCTTTTGCTCTGAAATGACCATGCTGCTTGACAGCGGTCCACAGTTCTCGGCGTTAGGCGTTGGAGGCTTTGGGACGCCGAGGCATCATGAGATGGGAAATAGGGATCCTGGACTGGGGCTCAATCCCTTTGGAGATTCATCACATTCTGCTGCCTTCAAGCTCAGCCCCGTAGCTCACGATATTGCCGCCAGCCAGACTTCTGCTTTCACGGCACAAGCCTCTGGTTATGCAGCAGCTCTCGGACACCACCACCACCACAGCAGCCAGGTGGGATCCTATGGTACCGCAGCGTTCAATTCTACGCGGGATTTTTTGTTCAGAAACCGTGCAGCAGGTATCGGAGAGTCTGCGGCGAGTAACGCGCAGCATGGGATCTTTGGTCCTTCGGCGGGGAGTCTGCACGGACCCACCGGGATCTCTGAAACGGCGGGACACCTCTTGTTTCCAGGACTCCACGAGCAAGCCACGAGTCACACTTCGCCGACGGGACATGTAGTAAACACGCAAATGCATCTTGGTTTACGCGGAGATATTTTTGGAAGACCGGATCCTTACCGACCGGTTACCAGTCCTCGTACAGACCCTTACGGTGCTACCCAGTTGCACAACTACAATCACTCTATCAACGTGAACATGCCGACGCATCACGGACCTGGGGCTTTCTTTAGATATATGAGGCAGCCCATTAAACAAGAAATGTCCTGTAAGTGGATAGATGAGAACCAGATGAATCGGGCGAAAAAGACATGTGACAGGACTTTCAGCACCATGCATGAGTTAGTTACGCACGTCTCCATGGAACATGTTGGCGGCCCGGAGCAAAGTCATCATACTTGTTTCTGGGAAGACTGTCCCAGGGAAGGGAAGTCTTTTAAAGCCAAATACAAACTTGTTAATCACATACGAGTGCATACTGGTGAAAAACCATTCCCCTGTCCGTTCCCTGGGTGTGGAAAAATATTTGCCAGGTCGGAAAATTTGAAAATTCACAAAAGAACACACACAGGTAATATATTTTAATGTTTTACGTTGATTTTGTGCTCTCTTCACAAATGCAAGATGTAATATTTGGCGTAAGGAGTTTCCGCATAAAAATAGGATGTAATGTATCCGATGGAGCTTAAGGAGCCTTTTTCGTCATTAACTGGATAAAAGAAACCGTTGAATCTCGTCTACGGTGTTGCTGGGGGCCTCCGCTGTTTATTTATTCTTAAAAAAAATACTAGCCTTCAACATCAAGATTTAAATAGTAGAAGAGTTTATATTAAAATACTGTTGAATTATGAGTGTTATGGGACTGTGTAACGGTAAATGTAAAAAGGGCGCCTGCCTTTTGCTGACATTGGAAATTCGGTTGTTATTTGGGAGTTTGCAGCCGCCTCCCTGCCCATTGTGACCGGCACATCAGTATGTGTGAGCTGCTGCTCCTGGCCTAACGTGTTTATCCAAGTTGACAAACTACTTCCGCTAGTTACGGTTGTTTATTGGCTAGCAGTCTGTGTAAGGTTGTTGTTCCTAGATTATATTTGATTTTCCATTACTTTGATAGGCAACTGCTATATAAGATGACTAGGTATTAAGATAAAATAACTATTATTGTAGTCTCCGAAGTGGCTGGGAAAAAATAAGCCCATCTAGACTAAAGTGTCTATATTTAAGTGAACCCACTGGTGCATTCATACCTATGAGTGCTGTGAGTATTTCTAATGCCGTGTCCCAATTGACTCTTATTCAGCCGTTTACTGGGTCGCCGAGTGTAAACTGCGGGTCAAAATGTATCGTGATTCCTTGCAGGACTGTCAGTTGGTCCAAATTCTTTACCGAGTGGGGGAGTGCGAACGTGGGGTGAAAATGTTTAGTTAGCCTACCAAGTAAGTTTGTTTCACGTCAAAATGTGTGTGTTTTTCTCCTGCAGGTGAAAAGCCGTTTAAGTGCGAGTTCGAGGGTTGTGACAGACGCTTTGCAAACAGCAGCGACAGAAAAAAGCACATGCACGTGCACACTTCAGACAAGCCGTACATTTGTAAAGTCTGTGACAAGTCCTACACACATCCTAGCTCTCTCAGGAAACACATGAAGGTAATGCTCCACAAACACATTTCCACCTGGTGTTATGAAGGCAATCATTTGCAAAGGATACTGAAGTGATTTTATTTTAGGATTAGATTTAGTGTCGCTTGGTATATATAGCGTACTAATATTTTGGAATATGCAATTATTTTACAGAAACCAATTTGGAACAACTATTATTATTATTATTATTATTATTATTATTATTATTATTATTATTATTATTATAGTAATTGTAAAAATAATCTTGCAGGTTCACGAGTCTCAAGGTTCAGAGTCCTCTCCAGCTGCGAGCTCCGGGTATGAATCGTCCACACCACCCGCTCTAGTGTCAGCAAACAGCGAAGACGCGACAAAACCGCCCTCATCAAGCATGCAAAACGCCCCAACACACAACGAGGGACTTCCGCCCAACTTTAACGAATGGTACGTTTGAAATCCAGCAGCAAAAGTGGACCAAAAGGTTAAAGAAACCCAAACCACTTGCACCCAGAGGTGTTTCAAAACGGTTAATGGAGCTACTTTACGAGGAGACGAGATGGCGTCAGATTCGCCGCGCCGTCAGCCCTCGTCCCTTCTCAGGATTAAAAAAAAAAAAGACTTTTATTCTGAGCGAGAAGTAGAATTATAAAAATACGACACTTCTTTCTAAAAATCAACCAATGGAGAAGTCCATGTTAAGCTGAAAGATAATTTTATTTTTACTTGTATTTTTTTCTCAAAATCGTATTTAAAATAAATAAAAAGGAATAATCCTTCACGATGGATCATATAAGGGTGATGCTCAGGTCACCATTTAATTGATTGTTAAAACTTCACACAGTCTTAAAAAACGTGCCAAAGTCTTTGTCTTGAACTTGAACAACAATGAATATATGCTCCTGAATGTATTTTCCTTATTTTATGCGGTCTAATCTTTTGTCATTATCCGTTTTCAGGTTGAGAAATGTGGTATTCGATTATGATTGTCACCCTTGAATAAACCGTTGCCTTTTGTTAATAACAATGTAAATACATAACCATGATGCCATATTTATCCATTTGTAATTTAATTATCGGCATAAGTTCTGAAAATGATATTTATGGAAATGTTTTCTAACACTATGTACAGTTTTGAGTCGATAACATTAAAATTCTCAAATATAAAGCTCACATATTGCAATTGTATCTGTTTTTTAAATACATACTTTTGTCTCAAAACACGGTAAAAAAAAAAAATACGCACGTGGATGGACGTTTGTATTATACTGTTTTATTCCCACTCACTCTGTTTAGCGTGTGAGGAAAGTTATAAAAACCTATTTTAGCCTTTCAGAAATCTGTTAATGCATTATATAGAGGCAGCGCTAACAATGTAGCATGTAACATTCAAACTTCCCGCGAGCAGTGTGTCGTGAACTTTTAATACATATTAATTTATTTTCATCGCTCTTATGTTTTCCCATGCTATTGTGAAGCCTGTCTGATGGTGTTGTGAAAATACAAAATTAAAAGTAAATTTGAAGAAAAAAGTAAAGTAACGTTTTTGTCATGGGTTTAGGTAAAACCGCCGTTGGTTTAGGAATATTGATTAGGCTCCAAGTGCTTTCCACCATTATCTCAATGTACTTCCGTTTTCATTTTTACCATAATGTAGGCTTCTCTTCGAATACATACAGCCAGTATTTTGTAGGCCTTCATGACTGCATAGTGACTGTATTCAAAGTGGGAAGTGGGGAAGTTGCATACAGTTGTCAGACATAAATTCAAAATGATGTTTAAAGTAACGGGACTCTCCCTGTTATTTGAGGTTACAGAAAATAACCTCTAGATCCGTTATTGTCCCAGCGTATATTGTCATTGTAGATGTAAATATGTGTTCCAGTGATTGCATTAATGTCACAGCACAGTAACTTAAAAATAAAAGTTTGTCTGTCAGTATCCTTGTTATAATGTAGTTTTTCTGTAAAATAAAAATGACCAATTATTTGTGTAGCATCATCAATGTATTAATAAACACTGGATTGCACTATAATACATTGTCGCTCGGAAAATTACACCGAAATAAAGCCAATAAGTAGATGCCGGTAAATGTAACAAAACTCGTATTTTTATTTCGGTTTTAAAGATTTTCAAGTAGCGGACAGTGTAACCAGGATCTGTGTTCGCGAAGGTCAACACTTTCCGAAGTACTATAAAGTCTTGAACATTAAGGAAATTACCTCCGTTCAGTATATCATTATAACAGTATAGGCCGAATTAAAACTCCAGATAATTTGTTCGCCACTTCCCGCATTTTTAACCCAAACTCTCGGAATATTATTAAAAAGAAAACAATGCGGAAAACAAGAAACACTGCACCAAGAAGAATTTAGGCAGCGCAGCTACTTTTCGGAAATAAGATCATAAAATGAAATTCTAAATAAATTCCGTCATTTATTTACAAAGTAACCTTAGACTGAGAGAAGACACTGAGATTTCGAACTAAACATACCCTTTAACAACAATGTTAAATACACAGCGTCCCATGAGCAACTTTAATGCGTCAAGGCGAATTGCTATGACAACAGGACTGCTGGTTTTTTTAATGCATATATCAGCTGAGAAGATGAGTTGCAAGTGCAGTTCTTAATTTCATAACTGCATATTGTAAGATTATAACTAAATTAATCGATGAGAAGATTACACAAAATAAATAACGTCTCATATTTATCTGTCAATGCCAGCAACACTTCCTTGTTGAGGTGGTGTACAATGCCTCACGATTGAGGGCCTCAAAGTGTTAAATAGGTACTTAATGGTAGAAAGTGTGCATCAGGAGACATAAATACAGTATTTAAGCTGGGGCATATATGCAAAAATATGTAAAAGGAGGTTAATATACAATATTAATATCAATATTTTAAAGGTTAATATCTGTAATTGTGTTACAAAACAGTTTTACTTACTGCTGTAATGGTATGCAATTACTTCCTGTTGGGGAAATTTTGAAAAACAAATTATTTTTGTGAAACTATGCCATAAAACCCATACACAAAGGGTTTAGTATATTTCAAAACCAGAAAGTGTTTTGTTTTTGTCTATGGTGTATTTAAAATACATGAAAATGAAAATGTGATTTTAAAAAACAGCCCAAACTATGCAGACAGTAATAGGTTGTAGTAAACAATGACAGAGTGATAATCACTGGGCTCCTTCTTTACAACTTCTGTGGTTGTTCGGCCCCATCCATTTTATATATGGATTATTATAAGTAAATTAACATTCTCCTACACTATTATTTGTTGGACAACAAAAATGCTCAGAATATGTGTTTAAATGTGTGGTCCACTATCAAACATGTTAATTTCCATAATTATTTGTTAAGCTGTAGCAAGTCTATATTATAAAATACTTTATATTAAATGAAAGACAGGCTCCACAACTGCAGAAACGCAAATACACTGGCACAAAACATGCAATATTATAATCCAGCTGCAGAAACGCAAATACACTGGCACAAAACATGCAATATTATAATCCAGCTGCAGAAACCCAAATACACTGGCACAAAACATGCAATATTATAATCCAGCTGCAGAAACACAAATACACTAGCACAAACATGCAATATTATAATTTGCAGCTTCAGAAATGCAAATACACTGGCACAAAACATGCAATATTATAATCCAGCTGTAGGTTTTTTTGCACTATAACAACAGACTACATTTCCCTTTTTGCACAGGCACATATAATCTGCCCTGACAGATCCAGTTGCTGCAGACTAGCATAAAGTTACAATATGGCGGCATCTGATGGCGTGGTCACCTAATAAAGATCCCAGTGAAGTCAGCGAACCGACTCAGTGTTAGATCTGCATGTTCATCTCAACCCAGTACAATGCTGTCGCATTTCACCAGACGATCTTCAAGATAACTAAAATCATTTCATTAGTGGTTTCACAAGGACTGCAGAATCAGTCAGTTTGCATTCTACACATGGTGATGATGAACAGTAAATGTGCTGTTTTCATTACAGAGTGCAAACTCAATTTCCAATTTGCAAGGTCTCAAAAGACTGAAAAGCTGCTCTGTCACAATGTTATAGGGATTTTTAGTGAAGCGAGACAATGAAAATCACCCCTCTTCCACACAATCATTTTTTTAAGCCTTGCTTACACTTCAGTATTAAGCAAGAATTCAGTATTATATCATCTTTTAAAAACCACCAGAGGCTGCTGACTGAACGGAAAGCGACTTCATGGGAAAAGAGCAGGAATGGGAAGCTCGTGGGGGGCAAACATTCACCTGATAATCAGATCACAAATATATTTCTTTTAGGGTAGGCCTATTTAAACAACAGTTTTTGCAGAATTAAACAACAATATCAGTTAATCAAAATATCAAGCAGGAACCATCTTAAATAACCTATCTGGAGAAGCCAGATATTAAAGGGTCATTTATATTTTACACAGAAATGCATACTTAACAAACAGCCACTATGCCCATATAAATGTGGATCATGAGGCCTGCTCTCTTTCTCCAAGCCCTAGTCCACATGCAGTTGTCTAGCAGCTACAACTGACTATCCGCTCCACTCCGTACACATTGACTAAGACTGTGTACCGTAAAACAGTTTATAGGTGTGTAAGCGTGAAGATTCCTGCAGATCTTTGGAAAGGTGCCATCGGGTTTTGCGAGAACGACATACTGTGCTGCCTTTGACCTTCTGCTCAGTCGCACACTGGGTATTTGTAAGGGGAGCTTGGAAGCGCGGCCCGAGCATATAAAATAAGCAGCATCCGAAGCGCTTCTGTCACGGAACACGCTTTACGAGATCCTTGCCCAGTTTATAATGTGTAATGTGAGTTCGCCTACACCTCCATATACGAAGCGGCTGGCCAGCGCCTTTCCCGCGCGTTATTTATATTTTCAAAAATCCTCCTATCCATCCATTCAACCATCCATCCATTTCCCATGCCAGCTAGTCCCATACAGTATATGTTAAAAACGGGTGGAATATTAAATCTACCAAAACCAGGTCTGCTTAGTCCGATTTATCCGTAAAAATTGTTTATTATATATTTATCGCACACATTAGCCGAAATTTTAAAGTAAAATGCGACCCGTTTAAACGCGTATGTTCGTGATATCACAAGTAGCCTATAGGCCTACAAGCCAGTATGTGACGTTTGTCTAAAATGAAACGTATAGCATCATAAAATTCCAAAAAAGCGCATTTCATGATTTTTTTTCCAACGTAAAAAATGCCATGTAATCTTTACCTATCGACAATAAAAGTAATATTTACCTATTGACTAAACGCAAATCGTATCGTGCTCCTGATTTACAAGAAGTAATAACTGAATCGTGCCACATATATAGTGTGATTATGTAATATTATGGACTGCTGTATATTATTTTAGTTTTAACCTTAATTATGTAACCGCTAAGTTTTGATAACATGTTAAGCAATAATTACCACTGAATAGTTTGAGAGGCTCTTTCACGTCACGCTGTGCAGGGAGTATATGAACATTTATATGAGATTATTTAATTTCCTCTTACATGACTATAACTTTTGTGATGGAATTATTATTTAATTATTATTATTTAAGTGACTGAATTGCTCAGTGTTTAGTTTAAGGTGTCTCTATAACTTAAATTAATTAGCAACTTACAACTATATAATCGTTTTCTTACTTCATGTCAGAAGTTCCTTTTAAATGAAACCAGTCCGTATTGTATTATAGCCCATAATAGTATTCCGTAAACTTTAAGCTGTTGTAGCAATGGGTATGGCCAGAATTACCAAGGCAAAGAAACTTTTTATTGAGCCAAAGAAACATTTTATTTTGCAATGAAAACGCAGGAAATTGAAACAGAAAGACTCGCAACTTTGACGGTTAGTTTTTGCCTGAGGGAGTTTAATTTATTGTATAATGCTGTACATTAGGTACGACGTACTCCATCTGTCACAACATATAATATTGGGTTTATTCTCAATCATTTAATCCAAACTCAATCACTTAAAAATTCATAAATCAGCTTAAATGTATTGAAATTTACGGTCCTCAAATTACGGCATAGGGCACTAGGATGTTAATTTCACCTGTAATTTACAAGTTAGGTGCTGAATATTCAATGAACCTTAAGGAGAATAATACAGGATACGCTCCTCAGAAAGTTCCATT